AGTTCACATTTTGCACGGGTCTGAAGATATCTCCTGACAAAGCTTCAGACACACCCCATGTTCCACCTCAAATATATAAGATTCCCTGTCAGTTTCTCTGACCCCTGCCTGGATGTCCAAACAAGGGCTTGGGCAAGGACATCCCTCAGCAGCCCCCAGGTTGCCACTGCCCTCCTAGCCACCTCCTCCATATGCGGGTTTGGTCCCCTTAGTAAAGGGGCCTCCTCTACCCAGGTGGAGCTGACATTCAGAGGTGACTATAGGGCTACTGCTCAACCGGAAGGAGGGAGCCAGGAGCCATGAAGGTGACGGACATTGTTTGGTAACTTCTGAGGAAGGCTGCACGGAGGCTCATCCCATTTAGCTTCCTGAGTCTTTCTAGCCCTGAAAGCTTTTCAGATTGCCCCTCAGGAGAAAGCAGATATGCCAAGGCCCAGGTGCCCAGCAATGGGGACAGCAGTCTTGACCCAGGGCCGAGATTTCACACCCCCTTGAGATTGAGTCACCAAAATATAAGTGTCTAACCCACTAGACAAATTCTCAGCTTTCCAAGTAGTGTGTGTCTTAGGGTGTTTTTTTTCTCCTGTGCGCATTCTGGGCTAACATAGAAAGTGATAAGTATCTTGCCAAACTTCACCTTTTCCTGAAACAGGAGTAAGCAGAGCACAGAAAGCAAATATTTATCGAATGCCTATTTTGAGCTCAGTTCTCTAATGCCTTTGCTCATTGAATCCTATTATCAACTCCACTGTACAGTTAAAAAAGGAGACTCACAGACTAAGCAAATGTCCCAAAGCTACCATGTAATAATAAAAAAGTGTTATGATTTGTATCCTTGTTTACCTGACTTTACAGCCCAAACTTTCTACACTTAATTTTTATCTAAGCCTATCTCCTGTATCAGAAGAACACAGTTTAGGATTAATGCTGGGTTCATTCTCATAAAAGAGAAGTCCCACACTTTTGGGAAGTGATGATTAAATATTCAGCAGAATAAGATCATATGGAAGGGTCTTGTGGTGACCTCAACAGTGTGGCAGTGTTTTACACAACTCTTTGCCAACTCAGAGCATCCCTGAGGCCCTGGAGGAGGGTGTGAGATGAGGCATGGAAGGGAACTGTTCCCTTGTCCACTGTCCTGTGGCCTCATGTGGCCACACCCACTATGGGGTTTGGTCCAACACAGAGAACCTCAAGTTCCCGCTGTAAGCCGGGTGTAAAAGTGACTCTGGGGTCAGCCAGGCACCACCTGAGAAAATCTCACGGCCTCTCAGGATTCCTGAGCATTACAGAGTGAATTCACCAAAGGGCAGCCCCAGGCCCTTTACATCCAGCACAGCTCCCTGGTAGGGTGAGGAAAATGTTCTCATGTAAACTGGAATTTACATAGCATAGTCAGGGATCCATGCATATTTGCTGAATTTTGCAGTTGACTGAAAATAAGGTAATATGGAGTAAGCTTCCATAAAAAGAAAGGAGTTCAAGGTCCCCTCTTGTCTGATGCCCTAAGCTTAGCTCTTTACTTAGATCACTTAGCCCTCAGCAGCCCCCTGTAGGTATCTGTGTCCTGGCCCTGAAGATGAAGTGGCCCAGCAAGGTTGAGTGTTTTCCTAAGGTCACACGTGGGATCCCTAATTGCACCAAGGGTGCACCAGGTGTGGGATCCCTGTACCCAGCTTGCCTCCCCAGCAAACCCATTACCTCTCTGTGCACGTGGAGGGCAGCACGCATTAAAGCCTCACATGAGAGCTTGGAAGAGAGCAGCCAGCAGAGCTTCGCTGGGCACAGTGCACTTCTTTCCTTTAGTCTCTATTTGCACGTGCCCAGCTTTTTGGAGTGAGACTACTAAGAAGTTATCAAATATGCTTTTTATAGCTGATTTACAAAAGGTAATTATTCATTTTCTTCCTAAATGAAACAAGGACTTTGGTTTTAGAATGACTTTAATTAATGCAATTTTAACAGGACTGTTCAAAAGCCAACACCAAAGGTGAAAATCTTTTGATCCAGCTGCTTCCTGCCTTTTAAAACCCAACCAATCCCATCACAATGATGCTTTTGAAAAGTAAGCTAGCACCATCCATGGATTTTAGAGACCCCACTTTGCTGACTGCAGAGGGGAACACACGCAAACAACAAAGCATTCCATGCAGGCAAAACCAAACTGGTCTGAAGCAGCGACGCCAAGCCCAGAGGACGCCAAGCCCTGAGTTACTTGAGGTGTGATATGAACGGAGGCTGTCAGAAATGGAACCAGCATCCTGGGCATGGGAAAAAATGAGCTGGTCAGATGCACATGGAAGGAAAATGTCAGGCAAGCAGTGTGGGTAAGAGGAAATATGAACTGAGTAGAAGAGAGTCATGATTCATCACCCATGTCCTTCGGAGGCTTTGTCTGAAGACGTTTAGAGGTGAGAGCTGCAAATAGAACAGGTACTTGGTAGGCGTGGTTGTGCCCTAATCCAAGTAGGAGGGCAAAAGTGGGGGTTCCTGAAAAGGTTATGTGAACATAGTAGGGGGTGGATGTCACAGAACAATTTTCGTTGGGAGTCATGCCTGGGTATCTTTAACTGTCCACCTTAATCCGCAGGATCCAAGGGATAAAAGCCCATGAAAAACACCCTGAGTGCTTGGCTTCCTGTGGGGCCAGCATCACATTATGTAGCCAGAGACCCCCAGACCCTTTTGTTCCTAGCACCTTTGCTCCTCAATCTCAACTCAAATATCATCTTCCCAGAAGCCCTCACAGCAGCTACCTCAACAGTGATGCCTGCTCACACCCCAGACACAATTATCATAACTAAGAACAGTGCCAACCACAGAATGAGTCTAAGGAGGCCTGAGTTCTAATTTTCCCCATGAGGACTACACTTTACTATTTCTTTTGAAATACCAAACATTAAGCTCTATCATTGAATATTTTGGAGACTTCACTAAATACCTAGTCTGGCTCCTGGGTTACCAGCATTGCTCTCTGAGGCTGACTTTTGAACACTTATTTCTTGACTTGCTACTGCCTGCCTCTTCCACTACACTTGAGGCTCTAGAGGGCAGCGGGTCTGTCTGTGTCCCCTGGGTATAGCACAGTGCCCTGCAGAGTTGGAGGCTGACACATCTTGTTGATAGGTGGGCAAATGCCTATCCTCTTGTGCAGTGGGCTCTGGTATTCACCCTGGAGTCAAGTGTCCCAGGCAGAGGCTCATTGAACACAGCAAGTTATGATGGTGGTGTGAAGGTAGGCCTTTGCTCACATCAAAGGAGGCTGGGGGCTTTAGGGCTCTGCAGAGGTCAATGAAAATTGACCTCTCCTAGCTCAAATAGCCTCCTCTAATGTTATTCTGTAAGGATGGCTGTGTCTGTCCCTGGAGCAAGCTGAGCTCAGAGAAGCCTAGAGCTGTAACAGAGTCTGTCTCCTTAGCAAAGCCCAACAAGAACCTAAGAGGTTGAGGGGGGTCCCTACTCGTGGTCACTAGTGAGAGTACAGAGCATCACAGGCCTCCAGGGCATTCTCCTCCTTGGGCACATTGTCCAGAGTCCACTGGGCAGAGAAGTGAGCAAAGCGGGGGCTCTGTCTGCCATTGCACTCCAGACAGCCTGCCACTCTAGGTCTCAGACTGAGATGGATGGAGAGGGAGAGAAGGAGGGAGAGGGGGAAAAAGGTCTGGATACAGCTTCCCAGGAAGCTGCATCAGCCAGATGACAATCAGAATTAACATTAGAACACCTTGATGAAAGAAAGAAAGAAAGAGTTGAATCCGTGAATGAAAAATAGATTATTCACTGTCAGTCTGAACAATGGAACAAGACATAAATAGCAGCCACGCACAGGACATGCCAATTTTGCTCAAAAATGGTGTGCACAGCACTCCAGCAACCCTCCAGAGAGCTCAGTACCACAGCCAAGTTCTGTACCAAGCAGATGGGGAGAAAGAAAATAACAATGGCCTCTCAGAAGTGGGAAGGACGTGGGCTTTAAAGTCAAAGATTCATAGTTCTAGCTGCTATTTACAACTGTGTACACACTCACAAGGTTAGGGTGGAGGGAGGGAAGCAGGACAGATGGGAAACAGAACACAGAAAGCAGAAGGAGAGGCCCAGGCCACCATCCTCAGGTGAGTGACATTCAGCCTCATGGAGCTTTGGTTCCAACATCAGCAAGATTGGCTCCAACCACCTTGCAGTTGAGATACAGCATAAGCGTGCTGGGAAAGCTGTAAACAGCAACTGCTATTACTGACATTGGGTAGAAATAAGTGCTTCAGGAGTCCCTGCTTGCCCAGCACAGAGAGGAGTATGTGTAAGAGTGAAAACAAGAAAGGAGGCATGCCCACAGATGAGAATGGAGCTTGTCAGTTGTGGTTGGGAAGGGAACATCAAGGTGTAGAGGGCCCCACCTCAGGTCTCTCTATGCTTTACAACCTCAGAGACCAGGGATGACTAACAACCAGGCCCCTCCGCATCTCACTGGGCTCTGCTAGGACAATCCTGCTGGTAAATGCTATTTAGTTTGTCACCAACCAGAGTCCCTCTCTCCAAGACAATCCTGGCCCTAAGCACACCTGCTCACCTGCCCTCTGGTACTCCAGAGGATGCAGCTGTGGCATGCTGGTTTCCGGGTCCTACCACCACATTCCTGTGAGCCAAAAGGGATCTCTGCAGCAGCCTTCCTTGATAAGCCTCCTCTCCCAGGGCCTGCAAGTCCTGGAGAGACTTCATGCCTTTGTACCTGAGTTGTCACTGAGACACCATGACTCAGGTGACAGAGGGTCCTGTGTCTGTTACCCAGAGAGCCCCCTGTCAGCTCTCAGATGGAGCTACCTATCAGGCTGCGTGCCATCTCTTTCCACTGAACAAAAACTCAGGAAGTAGGAACAACTGTTCTCCCCACTTACAGAGGCACAGCAGAGAGAGTGTGTCTCGGGAAGGAGCCAGAATTCAAATCAGCAGAAAGGTGGGAATTGAGAAGGGTGGGTGGCAGTGTTCACAGAGACCTCCCTTACCTTGGTGAAGGTCAAACAGTCCTTGTCCTGGTCTCTGTCCTTCATCTCGAAATCATAAAGTGCTTTGCCCTGGGGCGGGGTCTGTGGCAAGGGCCGGATGCACTGGATGTAGCTGGCGGGCAGGAAGCCATGAGCCCCGTGCAGCTCCCCATGGTACCAGTGCTCATCCACCCTGCGCCGCAGGATGATGATGTCGCCCTTGCTGAACTTGAGGTCGCCGGGTTCTTTCCCCTCATAACTGTAGAGAGCTTTCCCATAGGGAAGCTGGGAAAGAGTCTGAAAGCAAAACATAGCATCTGGTTACTCAACGTGGCCTTCCTGCTGCCAGGTTAGATCTGCCTAGGTTAGGGGCTCCCATGCAGTGTGGGCACATATAGAATGCTCTAGAGTGGGAAGTACTTCAAAGGAACAGATGCCCTGTATGGGAATACTCAAGCCCATGGTCCTGCCAAGACAAGATGGTCCCTGTAATGGCAGTCCCCCCTCAAATAGTACACATGAGAGGGGGGCCTTCCATAGGAACTAACTCACTCTGCCAAAAAGAACTCTGAAGGAGGAGCTAAATTGTCATCAATTACAGGTGAGGGAACTGAGGCACAGAGAGAGAGAAGGTAACTGGCTCAAAACCTCACCTCCGTAAGGGTTGCAGAATTCCCACTCAGGTGGCTGGCTCTGGAATATTCTCATCTACTACTCTATGTTGAACTGTCCTCCACTGAGTGCTATTTCTAGCTGCCAGACTTCCAACAATTATTGTCCAATAAGATTTTCCAGACTGCACCTCTGAACCTTCACAACTCAGAATATGTGTCAAGGGGGTTCCCAGGTCAAGGGGACGGACCCACACTGACTGTGGGACTTTCCCACTCACAGCCTTACAACCAATGGCATACACCTGTGACGTCAAGACCAGAGGGACAGCCTGGCCATGGAAGGTGGAGGCCAACCCTGGGACATTGGTCCCTCATGCACTAGAAGTTCTAACAAGTGGTCCCTGGCTGTCACAAACATCTCTGCCCCGGCCCTATACACACACCAATGACAAATAGCTTTTTGATGCATATGGCAGTCTGGTCCAGAAGTACAATTTCAAGACCATAAAACAGTATCTTCTTAATGTCAAGGGATGTTCTTGTCATCCTGTCAAAGATGAACCAACCATTTCAAAAGTGATCTGCCATCTTTGGCCTTAAATGGTGAGTTACAGGCTCTGAAGCCAAAATGAATTTGTGGCAATCTTTTGCTCCTCTGAAATAAGGAGTCAGTCAAACTACCCTGAAACTTGAACTCGATGTCACCATCCACTTCCTGGGGTCTTCCAACTTAACCGGACCTGTCTCATAAAGACCAGTGACTACCCTTCTGTGTGGGCAGGCAACACCCATCAACTGAGTAAGCTCTTCCAGAAGCCAAGTCTCTGCCAGAGGAAAACCAAAGGAAAACCCACCACTGTCCCTGTGTCAATACCCAACAATTTCCCTGACAGAAGCCGCATTTTCTTACCAGGGCTGTCTATGCCAAGGATTTCTTTAGTATTCGAATCAATCAATAGAACCACAAAAGCCTGAAGCAGTAGTACATCGAAAACCTCTTTGTAGGGGACTTAATAGCATGTTGGCAACTCAATCACTCTGCATTTATGTTTCAGCGATGTCAAATGACAGCAGTTAAGAGAGAACCTGCTGGCAAATTGACAAACAGCCACCACTAACCAATTAAACAGTAACACCAGAGGATTTTTCGTTGCAGAACTCAATGAGGGGAAAAAAAATCAGTTTGCTTCCAATAATACTCATCCTGGCTAGCTTTGTACTCTAAGCACAATAGCCCATAACAGGCCCCGATTTCACAGGGCTGAAGCAAAGGGGTGATTTGCAGCACAAGTACTGTGATGAGACAAGAATGGAAAGGGCTACTGGCTGTGAATCACCAGAAGAACCTCACTGCCACACAAAGGCCAGTCATCCCCTGGCCCAGGGGTCATCAACTGGGGACAGTTTTGTCCCCCCGGGGAACATGTGGCAACATGTAAAGACATTTTTGGTTGTCACAACTGGGAGGTGGGGTGCTATTGGCATCTAATGTGTAGAGGCCAGAGAGGAGGCTAAACATCCTACAAGTACAGGGCAGCCCCGACAGCAAATAATTACCCCTCCCAGAATCCCTGCCGCAACCCGTGAGGTTAAATTTACAAAAAAGACAGAGTAGCTTTCTTGTTCTATTTAAACTTAGTCCATCACAACTTTAAAAGTTAAATATTACATTGATTTCCATGACAGGAGTCTGTTCACTATTGAGCACATGGAGAAGCTGAGATACCCACTGAGAGGTAAGAGGTGTTAAAGGGGCAGTAAGGAGAGAACCCACAGTCACACTTGAAAATGGGCCTCAGTTCAGTGCAGAAAAGAAACCTTCACTTTGCCGCAGACTCTGTTTCCTTTCACCACCACCCCCTGCCCCCCCTCCCCGCCGACTAAGAGGGCAGTGCTCAAAAGCAGTATTTGGAGAGCCACACACACTGAGGTTGCTGGTCATTTTTGCTACTCTTGATAATGAAGAAAAGCAAGAATGGCCAGATACACACTTTTGTTTCTATGGGCTGTTTGAACATGCACAGCTCCCCGTCCTCCCCATGCACAGGGGACGCCAGCATCCACACTCTGACCCGCTTACGACCAGCTCTACCACTCAGTTGAAACAAACACTGCTCATGCATGCTGTGCAATCCTGGCCCCAACCTGCCTGGATGCACGGAAGGGCCTGGGAGTAGTGACAAGAACCTGAGGCTGTTCTCACCTAGGTGGCCTGGCTCCAGGCCTGGTGTTTGTGAGTAGTGTGTCTTTTTGGCTGTGTAAGGAATGTACTGCTGATGTCCAGGGGCCCTGGTCTCTCAAGGACTCTCTAAAATCGGTATGGCCCCATCTATCCGGGCACTGTGACCCCAGACCTCCTGGTCAGCCCAATGCCTTTCACGGCCCAGATCTACCTGCCTCTCTCTGTGCTTTCAACTTCTCTTCCAAGTTCCAAGGGAACTTAGTTCCAATCTAATTGCTTACTTGACTTCTCAAAATGGACATCCCATGGCTGTCCCTGGAGCCTACACTCCCTGCATTCCTCACTCTGGTCAGGGACTGCTGGCCCACTGCCAGTCCTGTACCCTTTCCCCCACCCCCACCCCGTGTGCCCATCTTCTCCTTTTAGGGAGAAGGACTTTAGCACTAGTCCTCAAGTTCTACTGACCCCACTGGAAGGCTCTCAGGGAGGCACCAGGCATGCCTCTACCCCCATGGCTGGGTCCTTCCTCTCTCTCACCTATACCACTGCAAACCTCCAGCAGCAAGTCCCTGGCCCCAGGCAGCCTACTGTGAGGCTAGATGCCCAAACAGGGCTGATCCTGTCACCCTGGGGCTCATGAGCTTTCAGGGGCTACCTACTACCCTGAGGAAGGGGCACCAAGCTCCTCAGCATGGCATTCAGGATGCTCCGACACTGGCCTCAACACAGCTTCCAGCCACAGCCCCCGATGCTCTTCCCCACTCCCTGTGCCAGCCATGGGGCCAGCATCCTTGCACACAAACAGCACATGCTTCTGGAACCTCTGGAGCTTCTCTCTCCTTGGCTCCAGACTCTCCCTCCCAAACCCAGAGGCAGCAGGCTGTGCTCTCCAATGTCTGGGAGCCTCTACTCCATCACACCCCTAGCCGCTATTAAACCGAGGCCTCAGGATAGGAAAGTTCCTGGCACATGGCAGGTATCCCATGCATGTCTGTTCATTTAACTAGGCTCAGTTTATTCCTGAGATAGGGACTGGATGAGGACCAGAAGTGGGGAAAGTCAGAAATGACAGACAGATCTGACATGGCACCACTTGTAAACCAGCATGCCTCACAGAGATCCAGGATAAGGGTGCTGATCCCAGCTCTGCGCGGAGGAGCAAAAGAACAGTTGTTCTAGTGGGTGAATCAGGGAAACAGAGGGGCCAGAGGCATCTGAAGCCACAGAAGCAGGGCAGGAGTGGTCTACACACATCCTCACCATGGCTGCAGTGGAGGCCCAGTCAGGGCCAACCACCTGATGACCTGAGGTCAGATCATGGGGCTCAGAGCACACAGCACAGCCTGGCTGGCTCAGCCATGCTCCGGTGTGCGCCCATGGGTGGTCAAGGAGAGGGAGAGGGGAAAGAGAGAGCCATAGAGAAGGGAAGTGGGAGAGAGAGCCCATCTAAGAATCCCCTCCCCAGGCTGCCAAAGATCAGCACCTAAGGGAGCAAAACTGAGACACAGGACACATTTCTGAGGGCAACAATAAAAGTCAGGGATGGTACCAAGAGGAGGTTTATTCAGGGGGACAGAGCAGTGGGAACCTGCTGGTTCTCACTGTTAGGACTCTCAGACCTCCAAGGCGCCTTTCATCTTCAAAGCTCTTTATAAGATTAACTAATTAGTCCATGACAGGGCCTGGAGGCAGCACCCGCGAGGACTCTCCCAGGCCAAGGAAATTGAGTGGGTTTCTGTGTGGCCATTTCCTCTCTGCTCCTTATAACCTTTCAACTGTGTGCTTCCCTTTGGAGGAATCCTATTCAAACGTTGTCACTGAGCCAGCATTCTATGGGCTCAAGACATTAAGGAAAAGAAATAAAAGGAAAATGGAAATGCATCTGGGATGCCTACAGGATAATTAACACCAGCAACCCCTGCAAGGCATTAATAATAATTAAAACTTATAATGTCAATTTCATGGCTCATTACTCAGATGTAGCACACAAATCTTACTGTGGGCTTAATGCTCTACCCTGTGGAGACATGGGTGCTCACACATGCACAGCAGCACCATCTCCATCTTTTATGGAGATCACCGCAGCAGCAGGCTTTGACAAATGTGCCTCCATTACACCACGTTGCTGACTAGGCTCTAAGTCACGCTGGCTTCCCTGGGAGTGGGGCCTGGAGCATAGGGGGAGGGCAGTGTGGCAGGGAGGGCCAGGTCTTTCTCTTCCAGATTCCCCAGCAAGCTGGGGTGAAGAATGTGGACAAACAACTCATCTATGTTTTTTAGACTCTAAGGACTAAACCATTCTCTCTTATTCAGAGCTTCCCAGGCAACACTTGTGGTTAGCACAGCTTCTAATTACATGTTACCAGTGGAGGGCCCCCTGGACTATCAGACCCATGAGGACAGATACTGTGCCTGTTTTTGTTCAGATGCTGCATCCCTAACCTCTGGCCTGATATACATCACATGCTCAAAAGACCTACTGAACGAATGAACATATGGAC